AATCCTCGCATGCTATTTCTGCGAACATAAATTAGTTCAACCACTGTAGAAAGCAGCATGGAGGTTCTTAAAGGAAAAATAATAAAATGACTATATGAGCCTGTAATCCCACTGATACAGATATGAAATCAGTAATGTGAAGATATCTACACTCACATGTTCACTGTAGCATTATTCACAATAGCCAAGATAAGTGGAATCAACCTGAGTGTCCATCTATGGATGAACGGATAAAGATAATACGGTATACATACGTAATGAGATACTATTCAGGCTTAAAAAGTAGAAAATCTTGCCCTTTTTTTTTTTTTTTTTTGACAGGCAGAGTGGACAGTGAGAGAGAGAGAGACAGAGAGAAAGGTCTTCCTTTGCCGTTGGTTCACCCTCCAATGGCCGCCGCAGCTGGCGCGCTGCGGCCGGCGCACCGCGCTGATCCGATGGCAGGAGCCAGGAGCCAGGTGCTTTTCCTGGTCTCCCACGGGGTGCAGGGCCCAAGCACCTGGGCCATCCTCCACTGCACTCCCGGGCCACAGCAGAGAGCTGGCCTGGAAGAGGGGCAACCGGGACAGAATCCGGCGCTCCGACCAGGACTAGAACCCAGTGTGCCGGCGCCGCTAGGCGGAGGATTAGCCTAGTGAGCCGCGGTGCCGGCCAAATCTTGCCATTTTCAATAGCAAAGCTGAACCTGGAGGACACCATACTAGTAAAGTAAGTCAGGCACAGAAGGATAAGTACCGTGTGATCCCATTTATATACAGTAAATGAAAAAGCTGAAATCATAAGTCACAGAAACAGAGGGCAAAATGGTTACCAGAGGCTGGGTGGGGTGGTGTAGGTCAAGGGACAAAAACTTTCAGTTTGACAAGAGGAATTACTTCGGGCTACCTAACATATTTCATAGTAATGACAGTTAATAGTGATATATCACATGCTTGAAAAGTTGCTAGGGGAGTAGATTTTAAGTGTTCTTACCATGAAAATAATAAGCATGTGAAGTGATATTCATAATTTTCATATTTCAAGTGATATTCATAATTCATGATTTAAATATGCCAAATAGTTTGATTTAGCCATCACAGATTTTACACATATTAGTAGGTCAAAACCTCATGCTTTATACCACAAGTATATACAATTTTTGCCTGTCAGTTTGAAATAAGAATTGGTTGTAATTAAATGTAATATTCTTTTTTTCTGAAAGAAGGGTTTATTTTGAAACGAATCATGTCGCACCAACTTAAACATCTTAAAATGAACTCTCAATAAAAGTGAATGCATCAGAGCACAAGAATATCTTATGCTTTTGCTAAGTATCACTAAAGATCCAGAAAAACTACATTAAACATGGGAACAGAGGGATGCTTTCCATAACAGGGTTAATGGCAATTCAAAACCAATGACCTTATAAGGAAAATAAAGAAGCCCTAATCATCAACATACATGACATTGTTTTCTAGGGTGCTCATGTGAAAATGTTTAAAGCTGTCAAGGTATGTCAGAAGTTTGCAGGAAATGAGCCCATAATAAGTCTCAAGCCATGTACATTCCTTCCCATCATTAATTTCCTTCCATGCCAGGGACATTTCAGCATCTGTAGTTTCTGAGGATGTAAAAATATACTTATAGCAACATCTGTTGTATTTGATGTGTCTTTTCCCAGAAAATCTTGAACTGTGGATGGGAATAAGGCCAATGGATTTCATACAAATTCCTACAAACACATCAGCAGGCACCATTACAGGGACTTCTTTGAAAACCACATACATCATCCGAGCCACTTCTTGGGACACTATAAAGGTCTCACCACTGCAGTAATCTGGGTAGTATTTTTCTGGATACTCACTAAGAGAGATAAATTCTTGATGATGAGGGTCTCTGTTGGGTGTGCCCTGATGGACAACACTGCCTACGTAGATATCTTCAAGGTGTTCTTTCAGATTGAGAAGATAGCCCACCAGGCTTGGCAGGTTAACAAACATCTCTTCATCAACCTTAAGAATGAACAGGGCATTAGGGCAGAAAGTCACAGCCCACTGTGTCATTGCGATGATCTTCAGGGTTTGGTTTTCAGAACTGTCCAAGAAGATCCCTTCAATAATATCATTATTCTTCTGGGACTCTTTATCTATCTCTTTCTGGGTTGTTACCAAAACAGGCATTCCCAAAGCAAACAGTGTGATAATGAGGTGCCCTTGGATACTGGTCATGCTACCCCAGGTTTTCCTGATGAGGTCCCGTCTTGTTCCATTTCCTGGGCTACTAAAAATAAGAGAGAGCAAAAAAATGTTCTTCCCTTTACAGACTTCCGGCTGGTTTAGAATGTAGTATGTGGAGAGATTACTTTTCAGGGGCTCCATGTTCAATTTTCTTGCTTTATCCTTGATTTCAAGAACCTTCATATCTACATGAGGCAAAGAATGCAGAAAGTATTCTTCCACAAAGTCAGCCCCAAAAAGCAAGGCATGGAATAGGATGACATTAAACAGAATGAAGCACCATTGGTGAGTCCGAAGTCTACAGAATGTCACCTAAATAACAAAAGGACATGGTCATAACAAAAAGATGGTCACTCAAGCTTCATCTCCATTCTTGTTTTGGCTCCCAGTGAACCCTATATAGACCTTTAACAGCATGTAGCAGTCTATTCTATTTTAAATGTTTGTCATTATTTACTGTCCCTTTTGTTTGGTCATAATTTCCAGGACAGCAGTCATATATTTCTTCCCTACTACTTCTGAGTCCAGTGTTTGGTACAAAATGGACACTAAGTAAAATGTCAGTCAGTTGTTTTCTTGCTTGTTGAATGAAAAACTCCTTACCCCATTCAAGCCACTAAGTTAGGTATTGGAGAGGCATAGAAGAATCAGATATAGGCATGTGGACACAACAACTGCCATGATTGTGATAAAAATATATAAGAAAATATGTGATGTACTTCCCTGAATTGGAGCAGCTGGATCAGTTTCTTCTCTAATTACAAAGGTCAAGGTCGATTTTTCCATGAAGTGATTGCTTTTGTTGGCCACTGAACACTGGTTTCTATCAAACATTTACATACTTCTAGTATGACTTGCCAATTTAATCTAATACCAAATCAGAGTCCATTTTAATGGCGTCTCCTACTCCATCTGACCTGTCAATATGCTTAGGTACTTGCTATCTGCATAGCACCTCTTCAAAGATCTAGCATGGACCTGTGCCAAGCTTACTGAACCTCATCAAAGGAGATGGAAACTTTCCATGTGCAAGTGCACAGGGGGAATTGTAATATAACAGGGCTAGGGAACAACAGAGGAATGAGATCTGTATTCATTGGAGCTTTGGTCAACAAAACCTCCTGTAACAAGAATTACCTCTTACTGAGCACTTGCTCTGTGCCAGGCCTTAATTCCTTTAGCATTGGTAATACCCTTTTCAGACAGGTTATGTTCAAAATTATGCTGAACATCCAAAGGTTTTAGTTTCCAAACTACATAGTGGGTAAGGAGTTGGTACAGGGCCATGATTTGATTGCAGATCAGTCAGATTCCAAAGCTCATTCTAAACTATCAGAGAATTCTGACTTCTACCTTTATTTTCTCGTGTCCATTGCAAAGAAAAAACCAGCCAAACAAGATCAGCCATGACAATTATAATCTGAACGTCTGTTCTCTCAGTGCTGATGATTTACACATAGAAGGAACTTAGATGCCTTAAAGTCTATTTTAGCAGCTATCAAATGTTTCAACAATCAGAAACTTACCTGCATGCTGTCGGTGAGCAATTTCTGGGCTTTGGATACCAAGTGATGCCTCAGTGTAGCTCAGGATCACTCCGTACAAACAGCTATTGCAGTAAAGTACTTGGCACTTCAAACTTAAAGGATAGGGTTTCTGGCCAATCAACCTGAGCTTTTGTCTCAGAATACCTGCTGACTACATAGGAACGTGAGCGCTCATCATGTTACAGCTACAGTGGATCCAGAACAAAGAATAGAAAAAATGGCTTCAAAAGCTTCCAGCCTCGTGTACACCATGAAAATGAACCTTTGTCTTTATGCTGAGTTCCTGGTACAGTATGTGTGGGAGTTCAAAGAGCAGTTCACCTGGGTCACCTCACTGCAGCTTCATCACACAAATGGAAGTATCATACACATTTTCTTTGGACGGCATCTCAAGAAATTAAGTAATCTGAAATTATTTAAATGGAATGATGTCTGCTCCCTGGTGGATGCACATGTAAAAATATCAGGACTATTTGCCATCCCTAGCAGATGCATTGTTTTCTCTCCAAAGATACATCACATGGTGAGGTCTGCTATATGCTCCATCCTGAATTCTTGGTACAGGCTACACAAGAACTTTAGTAAATCACTTGTAAGTTATACACCCTACCCTCTCCATCATATTGTTCATTTTAGCCTGAACTGCAAAAAGTAAGCATTCGGGGGCCGGCGCTGTGGCAGTGGGTTAAAGCCCTGGCCTGAAGTGCTGGCATCCCATACGGACGCCGGTTCTAGTCCCGGCTGCTCCTCTTCCGATCCAGCTCTCTGCTATGGCCTGGGAAAGCAGTAGAGGATGGCCCAAATCCTTGGGCCCCTGCACCCACGTGGGAGACCAGGAAGAAGCTCTTGGCTCCTGGCTTCGGATCGGCACAGCTCCGGCCGTTGCAGCCATCTGGGGAGTGAACCCATCGAATGGAAGACCTCTCTCTCTCTCTCTGCCTCTGTGTAACTGTGACTTTCAAATCAATAAAATAAATCTTTTTTTTTTAAAAAGTAAGCACTCGATGTTTGCTATTTTCCTGGAGTATACACAAGTCTGTGTTGGAATCATCCTAGACACTATTTTTTCCTGTATGTTTATTTCAAGAAAAGAAACATCAGGAGATGACACTGTGACACCAGCAGCTCCATACCAGAGTGCTGGTTTAAGCCCTGGTTGCTTTGCTTCCGATGCGGCTTTCTGCTTATAAGTCCAGGAAGGAAGCAGCAGGTTCAAGTATTTGGCCTGGCCCAATGCTGACTGTTGCAGCCAGGTGGGGAGTGAACCAGCAGATCGAATATCTCTGTCTCTGTGTCACTCCGCCTTTCAAATAAATAAAAAACATTCAGCATATTTTCTTGTTCCTGTCACATAAACAGTTATACTAGCATTCTATTATGCCAGGCTACAGTTCATCTTTATTTTTTTTCACATGTTGACCTTCCTATCTGCCATTCATTGCAGTGTTTCTACTTATTTGGGTTATAATAACTCCTCAAGTTTAAAGTTGGCTCTGTTTTCTAAACAATCATCCTGCAAACTTGGAAATTTTTACAAAATGGAAAAATTTAACCTAAAGGAAATTAACATGAAGGGGCCAGTGCCATGGCTCACTTGGCTAATCCTCCGCCTGCGGCGCCGACATCCCATTTGGGCACCGGGTTCTAGTCCTGGCTGCTCCTCTTCCAGTCCAGCTCTCTGCTGTGGCCCAGGAAGGCAGTGGAGGATGGCCCAAGTGCTAGGCCCCTGCACCCACGTGGGAGATCAGGAAGAAGCACCTGGCTCCTGGCATCTGATCTGCACAACGCTGGCCGTAGCAGCCATTTGGGGGGTGAACCAATGGAAGGAAGACCTTTCTCTCTGTCTTTCACTGTCTAACTCTATCTGTCAAATAAAAAAATTATAAAAAAATTAACATGAAGGGGAATTTTTACATATACCAAATTTAACAATAAAATGGGTCTTGTAAGTATTTAATTAAACATGAAATCTATGCATGGTTTGCAATTTCTTAATTTTTATAGCTATAAGTTTTGCTTCTAGATCTTTGAGCTTCATTTTACAATTTGGTTTCTTTGCCTAAGAGAGGTTCAAACAATATTATCACTGGGGGCAGTCACATCTGGCACTTTCAGTTTGATTCATCAAACTCCTACACTACTGGGGCTGAGACAGTTTGCTGCAAAGAGATATGTGTGTTTGGTTTCCTTTACTGCCTTCCCTGTCACAGAGGTTATCCAATCTCTGAATCTATGCCTTCCAAATATCTTACATTATTTTCATTAGTCACTCTCTGGCTTTGAAGTCTACAGGGGCGTCCTGTTGTCTATCCAGTCAAATTTGCTCTCTTGAGACCTAATTTTTAGGGCACCATAGTCGGCTTCTACCCCACATAGTCAATTTGCATTTCTCTTATTTCAAGAACTCTTGATGAGAGAATTGAGGTGCTTAGAACCTTGGCTGTGCCCTACTACTAGCTGAATATGAGACTCTACATGTTTATGTCCATAAATTTAGACTATGTTTTCCAACATGGTAAGCCATTTACCACATGGCTTTTTAAATTAAATGAAATTAATTTAGTTTCTCCATTGCAGTAGGCACCTACCCAGCATTCAACAGCCAGAAGAGGCTCATGTTTGTGGGAGTGAACATTCCCATCAATGCCAGGAAGTCCTACTGGGCAGGACTGGTAGGACACGCCTGTGCCATTTGTGTGAGTTGGTATGCATGTGGCTGATGAGCCCGCACAGAGTGACAAAGATAACCCAGGCATTTGAGTCATTTTAAGTTGAAATCCTATGATAAGCAGTCACTAGGATTTCAGGCAAGCAGTCTAAACCTTTTTTGACCTCAGTTTACCCATCTCTAAAAATGGGACTAATGATAATCACGACCTTGCAGTGTAGTTTTAGGAGTGTTTGGTAGTTTGAGTTTCTGACACTAAACATCCCAGAAGGATGAGATTCGCAGGGTACTACAACCGTTAGGAGGAAAACACCGAGACTTTGAGAAAGCGAGCAGTGGGCTCTGCCGTGGCGTCAATATTGTGACTTAAACCTACACAGTCTGCCTGCCTTTCTCCTCCCCGGTCTCTCGACCCCGCTCGACAGCTTTGCTTTACGTTTCTTCTTAGCACCGTACCTGGCTTAGTCATTTGCTTATCCGCTTTCTTCTCGCTACTCAGAGTTTGGGATACAGTAGGTACCCAATAATGTTTGAACTTGGACGCGTCTCTTAACCTGAGTCACCGTTCCCACTTCAGAGTGAGGATAATAATAAAAACTGCTGCTGAGGCGGCTCCAGAGCAGAGGGAGCTAAAATGAGCCGAGCAAATTTGGATCTGCAGACGAACGCCAGCTTGGGTGGAGTATTCACCAGCTCTAACCCACCGTGAGACCACGGCTCACGCCCAGCCTGACCAAGCGCGTTCCCTTCCCGCCTCCGGCTCTCCCCCCTCCGCCTCGGGCGGGGGCCGGAAGTGCAGCCACTTCCGCCGGGCGCCGCGGGGTGGAGGGGCGCGCGGAGATGACGCAGGCAGCACCGGAAGCCGCTCCCCCGTGAGGCTGCGGACCCCGAAAGGCGGCCGCAGGGCCAGGTCTGTGTACGAGGCGGGGCCGATCGGGGCGGGGTGGGGGGGATCTCGAGTGTCCGCGCCCCTGCTGACCCGCTGCGCTTCGGGCTGTTTGTCTTTCTCTTCCCTGCAGGCGCCATGGCTGCGGAGCGGACCCGGCCGCTGCGAGGCTCTGGCGGCCCGAGCGCGCCTAGTCGGTGTGAACCCGGCGCGAGGTCCCAGGCCCCGGGGCACTCGCTCAGGTCAGTGCCGCGCGGAACACGGCTCCGGGAGCCGAGGGCCTGGGAGCGACGAAGGGGTTGAAGGGATGTGGAGTTCATCTTAAGGGATGGGGAAATTGGGTCTCACAGTTAACTGCCTCCTCCTGCCTCAGTTTCCTTATCTGCGAGAGGAGTTAACAATGATGCCCGGGGCTACCAGGAATTTGAAAGATTAGGAAGCTTGGAGAGATGGTTTATGAGGTACAGAGCGGCGTACTAATATGAGGGCCTGCGCCATAATTGTGGGTATGCCATGGAAACAGGTGTGTATGTGGGGTGCTGCGTGAGCACAGGCAAAGAACACATCGGTGCTAAGTAATAGCGGAGGCTGGCTTTTATCATGGGCTTCCAGCGTGCCGGGAACCGTACTAAACGTTTTACTGCATTATCCTGTTTAATCCTGCCGGAAACCCTTGTGAGTAGTGCTGTTCAGGGCTACGTTTTCCAAGTGAGGAAAGTGGACTTCAGATCGGTGGGGTGATTTGCCCAAAGGTCACCCAGCAGCAAGCGGAGTTGCAGAGCCCGTATTTTACAATCTAAACTCGTACTTGTGTTCTTTCCCAGCTGTCTGAGGTTCCTCTTAAAACCGGAGGCTGTTTTTAGGGAGTTTATTCACGTGGCTTTAAATTCAAAATAGTGTACGATCAAAAGGGACCCCACATCCCTGTTCCTCAGCTCTCCACTTCCCTCTGGAGGTAACCAGTGTTAAGGGTTTCTTGAATATCCAAAATGTATTTTAAGCGTATGTAAGTTGGAGAGTGTATACTGGTTTTCAAAGCCTGGGTGCTATGTAAGTGATTATGTTTGATATGAAAAGATTGGCAAGATAAAGCCTCCTTCCTGACAGCTGCGGATGTGTTGCTTTCATTCCTCACCAGGCCAGGCCTTGGTGGAATGTGGGGGTGGTGGTGCAGACATTCACCTGGTTTTGCCGAGAATGTCATGTCACTGATAAGACCTGGAGTTGTAGGCCCTGTGTTGTTTTGCTTTGGGAGGGTGGGCCCTTAGGCCGCCTGCTATATCCTGTGCAACTCTGGGAAAGCCCTTCTACGTCTTAGGCCATGAGTTTCCCCGTCTGTTAGTTAGGGCATTAGTATTGATCCCTTTCACAAGGTTGTGAAGATTAAATGAGATAATGTTTATGAGTAGTACTTCCATCTTTAAAACCAATATAAATATGAGACTGGCCTATGGGGGCAAATATGAGTTAAAGGCAGAATCAGAGACCAAACTCAGGCTCTCATCTCCCAGCTTAAGAGACTTCATAGCTCCACCCACTTCCTCAGAGCTCTGTGATTGTTATTATTGTTAATGTTTAGTCTGAGGTGGGGAAAAATAAAAGGTCAAGACAGCAGGGTATGTGGGTAAGGGGGGAGAAAAAGGCACTTAGTGAGAAATTATAGCCTCAAGTCAGTAACTGCCCTTCGTTGTAAAATTATGCTCCCAGTAAGTTTGAGTCTGTGAGTTTTTCTTCTAGATGTTTTTAAGAGAAACTTTGCCATAAGATCATAGGATTCAAAGGGACCCATCCAGCCTCAGTGTCACAGAAAGCTTGCCTGCCAAGTATTCCTAGTAATAAAGCTAACAGCAAATACCATGTCAGTTATCCTGGACTGGGGACTGTGCTGAGCAGATTCCTGCCTTATTGCTGGTTCTCACAGAGCTGGAGTTGAGTGACAGCTTCCATTTCACAGATGACAGGCGAAGGTTAGAAGTGCGTGAGCATGCCCCTGATCGCACAGGAAGCAGCTTAGTCAGTAAAAGGTTCAGCTGACTGCAGTGCATTTTCGTTTGTCTGGTTCTGTCTCCATATCCAGCAGTCTTGACTGTTCGTAGGAATGGGAAGCTCACCATTCTGGAGGCAGCTTCTCCATTGTTGTGAAGTTCTGATGATTTAAAAGCTCCTTCTTACACTGAATTGAAATCCCATTTCCTGAGCTCCCCCCTGGGGACCATGTGCTACCAGTACATGATATTCCTAGAGACTCTGAGAGTTCAGTTTAGATCTGTGACCTCACCAAAGTCCCTTCCAAAACTAGTTGATTCTTTTAAAAGAGTAAAACTTGGTGACTTAAAAAAATCTTTCTTTTTCTTTTTAATTTGAAAGCATAAGCTCCCATTCACTAGTTCATTCCCCAAATGCCCACAAAGGCCAGGGCTGGCCCAGAGTGAGGAGCCCAATCCAGCTGTTGGCCCATGCGAGTGGTAGGAACCCAATTACTTGAGCCATTACCACTGCCTCCCAGGGTCTGCATTAATGAGAAGCTGGAGTCAGGAGCTGGAGCTAGGAATTGAACCCAGATACTCTGATATGGGATGCAGGCATCTTAATTGCTAAGCTAAATACCCACTCGCTATTTAATAGTGCATTCTGCGGAGTTGTAGGACCTATTCTTCTTCTTCTTTTGAAATACCTTTTTCAAAATAGAGATGAAGAACTGGGAAACTACCCCTACACGGTTGAACAGTTTCTTTTTTTTTTTTTTTTTTTTTTTGACAGGCAGAGTGGACAGTGAGAGAGAGAGAGACAGAGAGAAAGGTCTTCCTTCTGCCGTTGGTTCACCCTCCAATGGCCGCTGCGGCTGGCGCGCTGCAGCCAGTGCACTGCGCTGATCCGAAGCCAGGAGCTATGTGCTTCTCCTGGTCTCCCTTACGGGTGCAGGGTCCAAGCACTTGGGCCATCCTCCACTGCACTCCCTGGCCACAGCAGAGAGCTGGCCTGGAAGAGGGGCAACCGGGAAAGAATCTGGCGCCCCGACCGGGACTAAAACCCGGTGTGCCGGCGCCGCTAGGCGGAGGATTAGCTTAGTGAGCCACGGCACCAGCTTGTCCAACTCTTACACTACTGATTGAAACTTTTGGCCAGCGCCGTGGCTCACTAGGCTAATCCTCTGCCTGCGGCGCCGGCACACCGGGTTCTAGTCCCATTCGGGGCACCGGATTCTGTCCTGGTTACCCCTCTTCCAGGCCAGCTCTCTGCTGTGGCCAGGGAGTGCAGTGGAGGATGGCCCAAGTTCTTGGGCCCTGCACCCGTAAGGGAGACCAGGAGAAGCACATAGCTCCTGGCTTCGGATCAGCGCAGTGCACTGGCTGCAGCGCGCCAGCCGCGGCGGCCAGCCATTGGAGGGTGAACCAACGGCAGAAGGAAGACCTTTCTCTCTGTCTCTCTCTCTCTCACTGTCCACTCTGCCTGTAAAAAAAAAAAAAAAAGAGTTGGACAAAAAGCTTTGTAAGTTAGAGTAATCAGAAATGGTTGGTGACCAATGAAAAGTTTGTCCCATAATTTTCAGAGGTGCCATGGGCATATTAACTTGCATGTTGTAGGATGTCTCTCAGGTATTGATGAGTGTGGGAACATGATAATGTTTTATATGTGTTTTTGTCTTGTGGCCATTTAAATAACTAAACATTTCTATGACAGATGTGTGTCATAGTGAGTGTGTGTGTGAGAATTGGCAAATGCTTTCCACACTTTTCTCTATAAAAATTGATTTGGGGCCAGTGTTTTGGTGTATGTTTTTAATTGGTCAGTATTAATTAGCTGTTATGACATTGTGCAGATACCCACAGAAAATGGCTCTTTTATTTTGTGATTATTTTAAAAGAAATTGTCTAGAAATGTTATAGAGACTGGTAGGATTGAGAGGAAGGAGGGAGCTTGTTATCTTTTGATAACTTGAGAAAACTTGTCGAGAACTGATAATTTTTTGGCAGCCAAGTAAACGCTTCATATAAATTATAGCTCCTCTCTAGTCTAAACCCTTTGGCTTCCAGAGTATTAATTTTGAGTCCAGTCACAGTTCCAGAAACTGAACGTACAAAATAGCAGATGATGTGATTGGAAGATCTGGTTACCTCTCCTAATAAATCAGAATGCTTTCTGTCCAAGAATGTTCTTGCCAGATTTGATAGTGGAAAGTTAGTGATTTTTTACTCACTTTATATTAACAAGTTGGAAGATGAAATGCTGCTTTTTTGTGTAGACCTAGGTGATCTAGGTGACATGTCTGAGGAGGAATTTATCTTCCTTTTCCACATTAATTTAAACATAAATTTTTAATCAGTTTGACAGTCTTGTAAGACATTGTATAATCAGATTGGAAGCAAAGTTTTTTTTTTTTTCTTCTTTTTTTTTAAATCATGGAAATGTCCAAACTTAAGAAAGTAAAGAGAATAACCCTTGTGTACCCATCACCCATCATTAACATCTGTCAACACATGACCAGTCTTGGGGAAGATGGGTTTATTTATTGGTTTACTTTTTTTTTTTGACAGGCAGAGTGGACAGTGAGAGAGAGAGAGAGAGAGAAAGGTCTTCCTTTTGCCGTTGGTTCACCCCCCCCCCCCCAATGGCCGATCGCGCTGATCTGAAGCCAGGAGCCAGGTGCTTCTCCTGGTCTCCCATGCGGGTGCAGGGCCCAGGGACTTGGGCCATCCTCCACTGCACTCCTGGGCCACAGCAGAGAGCTGACCTGGAAGAGGGGCAACCAGGACAGAATCCGGTGCCCCGACTGGGACTAGAACCCGGTGTGCCGGCGCCGCAAGGCAGAGGATTAGCCTAGTGAGCCTCGGCACCGGCGACAATATTGGTTTACTTTATTTTTTGTTCTCTTTTCGTTAAGTTTAGTTCCTACTGTTAAGAGTGAGTTGACACCTGTTGACACTAATACAAGATACTTAAAAAAATATTGTTCTGGTTAGTCCTGGAGCAATTTGTCACTCTTCTAAAGGGAAACTGGTATAATCACATAGACATGGTACCCCCGATCTGTTACCAGGTTCTGGTTCTTCCTGTTGGCACTGACTTCAGAAAGACAGCTTCATGTATTGATCTTAAAGTCGTTAGCTTCCAGTCTGTTCCCCTATTTTAATAGCTCTGTGACTGTTGGCAGTCATTTACTTTAACCTATAGATTTTGCATCTGCAAAATGAAGATGATGATACCTGGCTGTTGTTGTTTTGCAAGCATTGGGATTATTAATTTGCCTTATTTGTGCAGATTTTTGGGACCCTCGTGACTCTTTGGGGCACATGGTTAAGAATTATCACCGGTTCATGTGAGGTTTATAAAAATGGACTATGTAAGAACTTGGTAATTCATGTTCTAACTGGCGGTGTCATCAAGGAGGTAGAAGAACCAGAATACCAGAGGCATATCACTTAGTTCAGCTGCTTAGTTTTCTTCCCCAGACCTTGTCATCTGAGCATCTACTGCAAAAGCAAGTAGTCATCTCTGTGATGATGGTGACAGGTGTGATTGTGCCTCACAAGTTAACTAATATCTTAGAGGGTTGATCCAGAGACTTAATTTTTCTGGTTGCACATCCCAATGCTTATTTTTGTGTTTTAGTGCCCAATAGCATGTGTTAAGGAATCTGTTAAGGAAATAGTTTTATAATGGTTTCGATGGGGGAGATGTATTATAGATCACACTGTTTCATCATGAATGTGTACTTTGTAAATTTTTTACTGTAAAGGTGCATGTAGCATGTGATAGGCTTCTAAGGAACAAGTCAAACAGAAACATTGGTGTTTTGAAGATCATGATTTGTTAAAGTGTGTTTTCTCAAATGTGTTTTTTATGTGCATGGAAAATTTTCAGATAAATGTAGTGTATTAACTGTAAAGTTATAATTGTAACTGAGTTGAAATGCCAAGTTTTTTACACTAATTTTTAATACTTCGTTTGTTAGCAGTCTTGCTTGAATGGTCTTTTTGAGCAGAACTAATACAATATTTTGATGTGCCACAGGTAAATTTTTCCATAACCTTATGGAGAGAAAGGACTTTGAGACATGGCTTGATAACATTTCTGTTACATTTCTTTCTCTGACGGACTTGCAGAAAAATGAAACTCTGGATCACCTGATTAGTCTGAGTGGGGCAGTCCAGCTCAGGCATCTCTCCAATAACCTGGAGACCCTCCTCAAGCGGGACTTCCTCAAACTCCTTCCCTTGGAGCTCAGTTTTTATTTGTTAAAATGGCTCGATCCTCAGACTTTACTCACATGCTGCCTCGTCTCTAAACAGTGGAATAAGGTGATAAGTGCCTGTACAGAGGTGTGGCAGACTGCGTGTAAAAATTTGGGCTGGCAGATAGATGATTCTGTTCAGGACGCTTTGCACTGGAAGAAGGTTTATTTGAAGGCTATTTTAAGAATGAAGCAACTGGAGGACCATGAAGCCTTTGAGACCTCGTCATTAATTGGACACAGTGCCAGAGTGTATGCACTTTACTACAAAGATGGACTTCTCTGTACAGGTGAGAGCCCTGGAGCTTTTGTTGTTTGACTTTGTACACTTTTAAAAGCAAGCATTACATAACATGTGTAATAACTATTAAAATTTAGAATTCAGTATGTGATCTTGCAATTAGAATGGACTTGGATTTCTACATATAATCGGTGCCCACATTTTAGGCAATCTATTTTGACAGGCAATGTAAGTAATTCTTAAGCAATGTTTAGAATAGTCCTAGGCAATTTTATTGATGATCCCAAAGCCTATTTACTTGCATCAAATATATAGAGGTATGTGGTATTCTTTTTTCATCTAAGATAATTTCTAGTAAATGTTTGTGTATTACCTAAACTGCATAGTTGTCATTTAAAATAAATCTAAACTATTCCTTTATGTAAATATATCATCATGATTTACCCATTTCCATATTAGTACATATTCAAGTTATTTGCATTTTTATGAATATTTTTGTTTATATTACTCTTTTCTCCCCTTAAATTATTTATTTGAGTCAGAAGTCTAAAAGTAGAATCACCAGATCCAGAAGTGAATGGTTTTATCTGTAGCGGCCTTTCCAGGTAGATTGAATTGATGCCATGCCCATTGCAAGCTCGTGAATAATTTGTTTATCCCTTAGAGTATCCCACTGGTCTTAATCTTTTTAATTAAGAGTTGTGTGATTTCTCAGTATTGTTTAAAAATTGCATTTACTTGTTCATAAATTGTACATTTTCCCATGTGGTAGTATATTCTCTGAAATGCTATACACTTTACCAGTTTTCTAAAATAAATATTTATCTAAGGCATTGCATGGTTTGTCATCCTGAATTCATTCCATATGTATTTTATTTTCTCTGTTTTATGAGCCTGATTAGTAGAACAGTATCTATTTGTCTGTACTTCGATGTACTTTCCCAGTTGTGATGACTTTTCCATGTCCTTTTCGCCTCATGATCTATGGCAGGTGTTTTTCTTTTAAGATTAAGATGCAATATTGTCTTGGAGCTTAGAGTTCTTTCTCATTCAGGTACATACTGGCAGGTGACTCATTGTTTTCAGGACCACTTCTAGTTTATTATTTTCTTCTTTCATCAAACTTCATTTTTGAAATTCCATAAAGCATAATAACTTGGAACAGAGGTAAATAGGAAATGTTCACTGAATTCTCTATCTGGAAAGTTAGTATCTACAATAAGTGGAGTCTACCCTTTGTTTTAAGATTATTCTCTAGATGGACCTGTGTGTTATTTTTATTCTAAGTGAATTCAACAGGTTTTCATATTGAAAATTATGCTGTGGCTATTGAAAATGATCTAAAGCATTGATTTAATTTTCTAATAGCAGCAACCCTGAGACTTGACTTGTGAGAGAAGTACTTGTTACACAATTACATATGTTTTGTGTCATGTTGTTTCTTAAGAGCTTGAATTTTCACTGTGGTTTAGTTGTGAAATCCTGAATTTGGCAGCAAGTTTACAGTGACTTAGATTAGTACCTTGAACAAATAGTAAGAAAGTTTTACCAGAGACAGTGACGGCTAATGTGAATGACTGACATGGTACAGATTAAGCTAGTCCTCTTCTGCAGTTTATGAAATGTTGAGAAAGGGACTCATTATTCCTTGTGATACTCAGTATTTATGAAATGCTTACCATTTGGAAGGCAATATGAGGGCACACACAGATGGATCACAGCAGTTCTTTTCCTTAGAGAACGTATACATTGGAATCAGGATGTGACCTTCCTTGGGTGAAAGTCTCTGTGTGGATTGTGGCAAAGCAGAAAACACCTGGCTTTCTAAAGAGTGTAGCTGCCGCCTCATTGTAGTGAAGTCGTGTCATGTGGGTTTCACATTCAGAGTTGCCAAATTTGAATTTTTAAGCGAAGTGTCAGATTTTTTTTTTTAAAGTATGGATCTTCAAAAGGTTCTTGAGTGTGATTATGAAAAAAACTATGCATGGGTTTCAGAAATTTTTTGCACCAAAATAGATTTATCTTTTTAATTCCATATTCATGAACTTTTTGAAGTACTCTTGTATTGATTTTAAATATTAATGATACTTTAAAAATACTGTGGTTGAGTCATGTTCAACCTGTAAGCTGCTGTATTATGACCTCTGATTTATGGTTGAATAATAAAATCAAGAGCTATACAAGAGCTAAAATGATGCAGTTAAATTATATGGAATAAAAACCACGTGATTGTTCAGAGGAAGGAATAATTTCTTCCATCTGGGAAACGTGAGCGGTGTTTACGTTGGGGCCTGAGGCACTGCATAGTTTTTAGAGAGCTGAGATACAGAATATGGGCTTTCTGATAGGAAGGAAAGGCAAAGGCATAGAAGGGGCTAAGAAGCATGGAACATGTAGGAAGAAAGTAGAGAGAATTCATTTTAGTGGGACTATTCGAATATCACGGAGTCTTGGAATGTAATCTGAAGAAATAGGCTGTGTTGTGAAGTGTCTTGAGTCCTGGGAACATGAGTTTGGACAGTCTGTAAGCAAAAGAGTCATGAAAGTTTTCTGAGCAGAAAAAGGTTCAGGGTTAGAGCTTTCTACTTCAAGTAGACCAATATTTCTTACTTGTGTCAGATCCAATTCTTTGTATAATACTTTTTATAGTGTCTATTCAGAGAAATAAGTTATCTGTACAAAACACATTTTAAAAGTCAATATAATGCCTAAACTCTGGTATCAAGGAGAAATAAGAGGACTGTAATTAAAATACTACGTGCACATCTAAAACTGTGATGCTAAGCCTGGATGTACAAGAAGACATGAAGTAATCACATGTTTGCATTTATGTGTGCTATCATCATGAACTTGACAGTTATAAATGCATACTGCATTTGTGTCAAAGAACTGTCAGTGATATGATCTTCCCAGTGCGTGAAAAATTTCACAAAATTGCCAACAAAGCAATTACCTTCAATTTATCTGGCAGTTGCAGTCATAAAAAATTCATTACGAAGTTATACTACAAATATGCTTTGTGGGACAGGTTCTAGATTTAAATAACTAAAAATAATCTCCATACTTATGAATATCTGGCATAATTATCAGGAAGTCATATAAAATGCAAAACCATTCTTTTTTGTGCTGAGATATTACACAGTATCCAACATTCCTGGTTTCTGCCCAGTAGCTACCAGTAATGCTCCCTCCTCTATTGTCATGACGACGGAAACCACCTCCACACATTTTTAAATTTTTTTCTAAGGAGTTGATGTGACTCTTATTGAGACATCTTGACAGAGGTCTCAGAACCTCTTAGGTTTGAGCTTTCAAATTACTCTCAGCCTGATACAGTTTAGGTTAGGAAAAAGGGGTCTAGAGTTAGGATAGTAGAAGCAGAGGTTTTAAAAGGAGCAGTGGAATAGAAGAACAGCTGTTAAAGTAGAATTGAAGGATTTGGCAGTGGTTTAGTGTGGCAAGGGGAAGAGAGATTTCAGAAGTGGTTAAAGTTTCTAGCCTTAAGAAAATAATAGCCTGGGAAGATAGCAGTTCCAATAACAAGACTAGAAAATGAAGACATTTGAGGCCGGCGCCGTGACTCACTAGGTTAATCCTCCACCTGCGGCGCCAGCACCCCAGGTTCTAGTCCCGGTCAGGGTGCTAGATTCTGTCCCGGTTTCTCCTCTTCCAGTCCAGCTTTCTGCTGTGGCCCGGGAAGGCAGTGGAGGATGGCCCAAGTGCTTGGGCCCTGCACCCGCAAGGGAGACCAGGAGGAAGCACCTGACTCCTGGGTTCGGATCTGCGCGGTGCGCCGGCTGTAGCAGCCATTTTGGGGGTAAACCAACGGAAAAAGGAAGACCTTTCTTTCTCTCTCTCTCTCTCTCTCTCTCTCTCTCTCTCTAACTCTGCCTGTCAAAAAAAAAAAAAAAAAAAAAGAAAAAAGAAAATGAAGACAGTTGAGAGGGTAGATGGAGTTCAGTTGGGATGAATTCAGTTGCCTGTTGTATATATTTCAGTGGATACGCTACAGTATTTAGCAATACCGGGTCTGGGCTTGGAATATTCAGAGCTAGACAGAAAGCTTTAGGAGTCAGTCACATCCCAGCTGTGGCTGAAACAGTGAAATTTTAAAAGGAGATTTAGAGACGGGAGAGAATAGAGCTATTTGAAGAGTATACTTAGACCAAGGAGAGAGGTGAAGGGACCAGAACAGGGATGAAGAGTACCTAGAGCAGGAGGCTCGCCTGTTAAAGAGGCACTGTGATGTGTATTCATTTGGTCAGCAGAGGCCGGTGCTTCAGAGAGGGGGTTGAGAGCTGAGATCTGAGATCTGATTCTACTAGTTAAATATTTAAACTTAAACTTGATAAGATAGCCTGCTCCATTTGGGTTACAGCTCATTTTCCTGCCTATCTTTGTACATACTCATCTTTTGTTTTCATTCTGTTTTCGAAATTGAGAGGATTTTTTTTTCCTCATGAAATGTAAAAGTCCACATTTATTGAATCGTCCCTCACCTGTAGACTGCATCAGCCTCTGAAAACAAGTTGAGTTGGTTGATGCGGTAAGTGGGAGTCCAGAGGAGAGACCAACGTAAAGCCAGAAAAGGGTTGAGAATTGTGGCTGCTAAGTGATTACCAATTAGGAATAGACTTGTACCCCCTGAATAATGGAACTTAATCTGATTATTATTATTTTAAGATGTTTTTATTTTACTTGACAGGTAGAGCCACAGAGAGAGGGAGAAACAGAAAGATCTTCTATCAGCTAGTTCACTCCCCAAATGGCCAAATAGCCACAACGCAGACCAAAGCCAGGATGTTCATCTGGGTCTACCATGTGGGTGCTGGGGCCCAAGCACTTGGACCATCCTCTGCTGCCTTTCCAGGCACATTAGCAGGGAGCTGGATCAGAAATGGAGCAGCCAGGACTCCATCCCACGCCCACATGGGATCAGGGCATTGCAGATGGTAGCCTAACCTGCTACGTCACAATGCTGGCCCCCTGATTGTTTTTGACAACATTTTCCTGTATAAACTAGTTAAATAATTAGTTTGGAAAATTTCTTCCTAGTATGTTTTGTTTTTTTTTTTTCCAAATTGTGGTAAAGCATGCATTATAAAATTTGTCCTTTTTAAGTGTGCTGTCTGTGTCATTAAGTACATCGTGCAACTATTAGCTTCAACCATGTAGAGCTTCTTTCATCTTCCCAAACTGAACTGTACCACATAAATACTTAACTGCCCAGTCACCCTCCCCCTAGCCAGTGACCACCCCCATTCTACTTTCTGTCTGCATTTCATCTGTTCTAGGAACCTCATGTTAGTGGAATAATGCAGTGTTCTTTTGTGACTGGCCTGTTTCACTTAGTTTGATATACTCAGTGTTCCTCTGTGTCATACCGTGTGTCAGAATTTCATTTCTTTTTAAGATTAAATAATGTTGTGTTGTACAAATAGGCGTATACCACATTTTGTTTATCCTTTCCCCTAGTTTATCCAGCCATCTTGCCTCCAGTTTTGCCATTCCCCCAAATCATTTTCCACGATGCAGTGATCTTTCAGAAATGCAAATAAGGTCTGGTTAAACATCCCCTTGACCCAGTTCTCCAGCCTGACTTTGTCACTGTTTCACAGTCAGACTGAACTGTTTTTATAACCAGTGTTCATGTTTTAGGCAATGCATTTTGACAAACCTTGTCTATAATCCTCGATCCTTAGAAGTTCTTTATTAATTGACCACACGTATTTTTGTAATATATAGAGATGCATAGTAGGAAGGTTAATAGGTATAACCCAGGGATTGGCAAGCTATAGACTGTGGACCACATCCAGCAGAACAGAGTAATTTCAGCAGACTGTGTCTTCCAAAGCCCGAAATAGGTACCGTCTGGTCTTTTATGGAAGTTTTGCCAACTTCTAGTATATACTGTTCCTTTTTCTTTTCTTTTCTTTTTTTTTTTTTTAAACCTCGAAATTCCTTTCTCAAACAATTCCATACTAAAAACAAGAGAAGTGTAGTTGAGGAGCCAGTTGTGCTGGCTTCTAAGGCATGTTCTTTCCCCCTTCCCAGAAACCCTTTGTTTAAGGAATACAAACATCATATAATTCATAAATACAATTTTAGGAATATAGTGATTCTTCCCACTATACCTGCACTCCCACGCTTCTTCCTCCTCTTCCTCCCATTTCCATTTTTTTATTTTTTACTAAGATCTATTTTCAATTAACTTTATGTACATAAGATTAACTCTATACTAATTAAAGAGTTCAACAAATAGTATGAAAAAAAAAAACTGTTCTTCAGTCAAGATGGACTGTTCAAAGTCATTGCATCTCAAGCTGTCATTTTTGCTTCTATAGATTACCTTTTAAAAAGTGCTCTATTAGTTACCACAGATCAGGGAGAACATGTGGTATCTGTCCTTTTGGGGCTGGCTTATTTTACTTAAGTGTAATGTTTTCCAGTTGCATTCATTTTGTTCTAAGGCATGTTTGCATTCGTGTTTGTAGAACGTGTACATGAGGACTGTTCAGTTTCATGAGGCCTTTTCTCTTTTTATCCCCTCCTTGTATTTGCTGTGCAGACTATCTAGACCTGTGCTATCCAGTGAGGTAGCCATTGGTCCCTGTGGCTTTTGAATAGTTGAGCTGTGGCTAAACCAACTTGTGATGTGAAATATGAAATGCCAGACTTAGAAGACAGATTGTAAAAGAATATAAAATTTCTCATTAATAAATTTTATACTGATTATATGTTAAAATGATAATATTTTTTACATTTACTTAGATAATTATTTTCATTCATTTACACTTTTTTAGTACATTTTAAATTACATATATGGTGTCCATTATATTTCTGTTGGGCAGCGTTGTTTTAGACCATTGATTTTCAAAATACTGATGAGTTAGAGTAGCCTGGAAATTTTAAGATTATTGGATTCTACCTAAGGTAGCCTAAATTAGAATCTCTTAGATTCTAAATTAGAATTCTCTTAGAGCCCTGTTTGTGTGTTTTGATAAAAGAACCCTCATGGTTCTGATCTCTCCTGTCCATTGAGAATCACCAGCCAAGTCTTACAAAATAGCAGGGTGACAAATACATTCATCATTTCAGTGTTCAAGCTCTTTCATAAGTGGTAACTATTTTTCATTTTCTGAAACAATGGCCCTTTATGAAAGGTGGAATTGTGGCTGACTTTGTGAAGTCTTTTCAGCTTTTAGAAAACTGATGATTTAGTGCTTTCCTAGGGTACTATGTTTTTATTATAGTACCGATGTCTTTTTCTTTATTGAGTTTTATTAAAGGTAAATTGTGAGACATGAGTTAGTTATTAGGATTTTAAACTTAATTAAAACCAAGTCTTGATTTTTTTTTTATGTTACCACTAACAGTGCACATGTGGCTGAAAATCTTTATATCTTTGTTCCTTTTTTTTTTTTAAAGATTTATTTTATTTATTTGAAAGACAGAGTTACAGAGAGAGGTATAGACAGAGAGGGAGAGGTCTTCCATCCGATGGTTCACTCCCCAGATGACCGCAACGGCCGGAGCTGCGCCGATCCGAAGCCAGGAGCCAGGAGCTTCTTCCAGGTCTCCCACGTGGGTGCAGGGGCCCAAGGACTTGAGCCATCTTCTACTGCTTTCCCAGGCCATAGCAGAGAGCTAGATTGGAAGAGGAGCAGCCGGGACTAGAACCGGTGCCCATATGGGATGCCGGCGCGTCAGGCCAGGGTTTTAACCCACTGCGCCACAGCGCCAGCCCCCAAGTCTTGATTTTTTTTAATTAATTAATTTATTTGGAAGGCAGAGTTACAGAGAGGCAGAGGCAGGGAGAGAGAGAGAAGTTTTTCATCTGCTGACTCACTCCCCAGATGGCTGCAGTAGCCAGGCTGGAGCTGGGCCAATGTGAAGCCAGAAGCCAGGAGCTTCTTCCAGGTCTCCCACGCTGGTGCATAGGCCCAAACAGTTGGGCCATCTTCCGCTGCCCTCCCAGGCCATAGCAGAGAGCTGGATCGGAAGAGGAGCAGCCGGGACTCAAACCGGCACCCATATGGGATGCCGGCACTGCAGGCAGCAGCTTTACCCGCTACACCACCATGCCAGCCCCCACAGTGCATTCAGTGCATTTGACACTGTTTTCATGACTTAGCAAGTCATGCAACTGGGACTCTTCGTTCTTTGGTTTTCTCAGCCATAAAGTCAAAGTGCTGGAAAAGGTGACCATTAATGTTCTCTTTTAAGAATACTTTGGTTTGAAGATTGACTTTGCCTTTTTAATATGCCTTTTCTTATTAACCTCCCTGTTTTTCTCTTGAAGGGTCAGATGACTTGTCTGCAAAGCTGTGGGATGTGAGCACAGGGCAATGTGTTTATGGCATCCAGACCCACACTTGTGCAGCAGTGAAGTTTGACGAGCAGAAGCTTGTGACAGGCTCCTTTGACAACACTGTGGCGTGCTGGGAGTGGAGTTCTGGAGCCCGGACCCAGCACTTCCGGGGGCACACGGGGGCGGGTGGGTTGCCCTTTTTCAAGGGTTTTTAAAATTGCTCTAACCTCATCTTTAAAGCCATAGGCCAAGAATGTGAAACTTTTTTCCTTTTCCATTTATCCCGTCTTTCCCCCTTCTTCTTCCTCAGGCACTGCAGTTGCTCCCTTTATTCCAGTTAGTCGTATATGGGATGCTCTCCCCACTTTTGCTCTTCCCCTCCTGGCCCATTTACAAATTCTATCTACTCTTACGTTGGGAAGGGTAGTTCTCCCTCCTTCCTATTTCATTTATATAATGTTGAACAGTCAGTCATCTTTGCTTTTATCAGATTCCCTATCTCCAAATTTGAGTAAGTCCTGTGCTTGTAAATTCAGACCACTTTATTTGTGGAATTAAAGCAGAAAATCCTTTGGAGTGATGGTGGTTCCCAGGTTGTGTGGTCTCTATAGATTACATCTGGTTGGAGCTTGATTAACATCTGATTAAAAGGTAACCACCTAGAGATAAACAGATGATTGCATAGTCCCTAAGAAATATACAGGAGCCTTATTTTGCAGAGAACTGACCTCTTTAATATAGCCTTGAGATTTGAACTTCTCTCTCTCCTGTATTTTGGAGCTTTGTGTGGAAATCGTATTAAGCTATTTCCCAGACTTCTGTGCTGCAGCTCCCTTCTTCTTTTTGCATTTGCCCACTGCTTTAGCCTCTGAGAATCACAGTCTCCACTCTTAAGCATCACGTTTGTGAACAGTCCTCTGTGAACAGGTTGGGCCCTCTGCTGTAAGATGCCCAGAACACCCATCATGCAAATAAGGGTGGTAATCCCGATTCCTCCCGGACTGTAGCTCTGTAGGACAAGGGCCCTGCCTGGCTTGTTTACCCTTGTGTCTTGAGTTTCTTGTACTTTATGTGCCTAGTACTCAATATTCTTTAATGTAAACTCAGCTTTAGTCTTTGCTGTCTGCTACCAATCGCTGGTTTTAGAGATTGACATTTGAAGGTGTATGGCTTAGTATGGAACTTACATATTACAGAGTGTAGTATTCCACAGTGTCAAAATGTACCATGACTTCTAGTGATTTTATTCCTGATCAACTTCGATCTAAAAAATTTTCTACTTGCTGTTCCCTGGACATTGCTGCCGCTTATCTTAACTCCATGTTTTTGCTGACCCCTCTACCTGCAGTATTCTTTCTTTTCTTGATAAACTCTGCTCATCCTTCAGGGCTCATCACCATTATTGCCTCTTCCCTGAAGTCCTCCCTGATACCCCTGGGCAGAGTTAGTCATTCTCCTTGGTGTTCCCCTAGCAAGAGGTAAACATTTATTTTTTTCTGGACTCCCTCCTCAATCCCTAACTTAGAGTGTGTTCCTTAATTAAAGAAAGGAACAGTATCATTGTCTCTGCGTCCTTGGTGTTCCTGTAGAGCCCGACAGACATTTAAAAACAAGTATTTGAGTACTGGCTCTACTGCAGACACTAACTTAGGTGCTGGGATAGAGCCATAAAGAAATTGAGCCACTGTTTTGAGTGAATGCCTTAGTGTGACCTTTGAGATTCCCCCTCCCCCTTTGATTCTCTTTACATTGGCCTTTCTTGAGTCTGGGTACTGTTTTGCAACTTATATTCTTTATGTTTTGTCTTACTGTCAGTGCGTATCTGAGCAGGGCCAGTTATATTCTGTTTTCCTGCATAAAGTAGATAGCTTTGTGTAGTGTCAGGCAGGCAGGCAGGCCTGAGAAGGGATACCAATATCTCCAGTACTGGTTTTGCCCTACTTGAAAGCAAATACAAATACAAGAAATTGTATTGTTTCTGGAATGTTCCAAGCTTAAAATAATCTGTAATAATAGCAACAGTTTTTTTCTTTTTTAAAAGCTTTATTTGTTTGAAAAGCAGAGTTACAGATAGGGAGAGACAGAGAGAGAGAGAGACACAGACAGAGAATCGATCTTCCATTTGCTGGTTCACCCCCCAAGATGGCTGCACGGCCAGGTCTGGACCAGGCTGAAACTCCATCCGAGTCTCCCATGTGGTTGATAGGAGCCCAAGCACTTGGGCCATCTTCCTCTGCTTTTGCAGACATATTAGTAAAGAGTCAGATTGGAAGTAGAGCACCTGGGACTCGAATCAGTACCCATATAGCAACGGCTTCACCTGCTACACTACAATGCCAGCCCGGTAACAAGAATTTGAAATGGATTTTTTAAATCATAAAATTGCTAATGGAATAGTCCCATTCTTATAGTGGCTTTGGTTGGGAAATTATGTAATTGGGAAGCTAGGGAGACTAAATGTTATTGAACTCTCTTTTTTTTTTTTTTTTTTTACCACTGACAGAGGCATGTGTTTTAATTTTGTGTATCTGTATGTACTAGTGTTTAGCGTGGACTACAATGATGAACTGGATATCTTGGTGAGCGGCTCTGCAGACTTCACTGTGAAAGTATGGGCTTTATCTGCTGGGACATGCCTGAACACACTCACTGGGCACACGGAGTGGGTCACCAAGGTAGGAAGACTGAGAAGACATCTCTTTGATGGCAGACTTCTTGTGGGTGGTGGGAAGTGGGGGATGTGAATACTACCCTGTAAGTGGAAATTAATCCTAAGACAGAATAGTCGTAATCACAAAGTTTGATGGTATACCCCAGTGACCAGCATGTAGAAGGTCTCAGTAGTTTAATCGATGAGTGACTTATGGACAGGGAAAAATGCCCATGATATCTGAACATTTTTAATGTGTTTATGCACCAGTATTTTTAAGGAGATTATTTCTGATGAGATTGTGGGTGCTTTTTTGGAAGAACATTTTTGTCTTTTAATCAGAAAAGCAATTTCCATTTTGAAAAAAAGAATGCTTTTCAGTCTTGGAAAAAAGAAGTGAGGCTAAGAAAAGTTTACAAGACCTGTAGCAAAATATCATGATGTCTTCTAGTTCCAAAGGTTATTGTGGGGCTCACATGCAGCATTAATAGTGACTGTGCCATGTGACGCATTTCCTTGAACTTGAGGGTCTGAGGATACAGGAGCTAGAAAAATATACCCAGGCTTTACTCTTACAGATGTTAGTCTAGGAGGATAAATAGTTATTAAACAGTGATTTTAAATGATATAATTACAATTTGTGTTAATTTCTGTGAGAGTAACTAGTTCAAGGAAAGCTTTTTGAGAAGGTACAGACGTAAAGATCGAAAAGGTGGTAGCTGTGGAAAGAGTGCTTTAGAATGTGCAGTATGTGTACAGGGCTAGGGATAGGAAAGAACTTGGAACATTTGATGACCTGGAAGAAGGCCCTTGGAGCTATACTGTAGTCTGGGGAGATGAGTGGGTGTGTGCCCATCATATATGACTTACTAGTTCTCTCTTCCAGATTATAGGTAAGGTTAAATGCTGCCAGTATTGGATACTTGTAGATACTGCTAATAACAGAAATTTAGTAATGGGATTATAGTTTAGCTATTCTACAGTACTGTGTCATTTCAAGCTCATTTTCATATTTTAATTAAAAAAATGAAAATCACTATAGAAGACCATTAAAGAGATGTTTCTGTAACATGGATGTTTATATTTGCAGGTGGTTTTGCAGAAGTGCAAAGTCAAATCTCTGTTGCATAGCCCTGGAGACTATATCCTCTTAAGCGCAGACAAATACGAGATCAAGGTCAGATTTTTTTTTTCTTCTATTAATTTGCCCCATCAAGAAAAACTGGCGACTATTAAGAAAATTAAAATGACATGGCAAAGAGAGAATACTCCACAGGGGAAAGTGAGAATGTCTTAGTCCAGTGTCTTAAATCCATCAGAATAGAACATGACTAGGGCGGCTTAAGGCACTACCTGGGGTGCTTGCATCCCATGTTGGAATGCCAATTTGAGTCCTGGCTGCTCTGCTTCTGATGCAGCTCTCTGCTCACGCATGTGGAAATAGCAGATGATGGCCTGAGGCCTCAAGTCCCTGTCACCCATTTGGAAGACTTGGAAGGAGTTCCTGGCATGAGCCTGGCCCAGTCCTGGTTCTTGTGGCCATTTGGAGAGTGAACCAGCAAATGGAAGATACTTTCTCTCTCTCTCTCTCTCTCTCTCTTGTCTCATTCTCACTCACTCTTACTGTCACTCTGCCTTTCAAATAAATAAATCTTAAAAAAAAAAAGACTAGGATATGATTCACTAATTCTGTATCCTATGCAGTTTCTAACTATGATTTGTAAATGAAAAAGAAATTCACAGAAATTTGTTTCAACTTATTCTTACTGTTTTCTTAAGACACATACTTCCTGCTCTCCTCAATTCTTAAGCTATGAAACCATAAATATCCATTTGTTGAAACAATTTGCAAAGAGTTTACACAATTTTTATATATGTTCTTATTGCCTCTTTGTTTATTTAAAAAATTTTAATTTATTTTATTTATTTAAAAAGCAGGAAGAGAGAGAGAGAGAGAGAGTATCAGAGACAGAGATCTTCCATCCTCTGGTTCACTTCCCAAATGCTGGCAACAGCCAGGACTGGGCCAGGCCAAAGCCAGGAGCCTGGAACTCAATTCACGTCTCCCACGTGGGTAGCAGAGACCCAGGTACTTGAGTCGTCGGCACCTGCTGCCTCCCAGGGTGTATGTTAGAAGGAAGCTGGAATCAGAAGCAGAACAAGGGAGGCCTCCAACCCAGGCACTCTGACATGCAATGGGGACCTCTCAGGTGCCATCTTAGTGGCTATGCCAAATGCCTGCCCCATTATTGCATCTTTCAAACCAATCCATGCGGTAGGCTTTAATCTTCACGCAAGAACTGGGCTTCAGGAATGTTAAATCTTTGACCCAAATTACCCAGAAGAATCAAGAATTGAATACGTGATCTTTGGCTTTAAAACCTGTGATGTTCCCAGTATGCTGCACTTTGTATCTGACTTCAGCAAATGCAGGCCACATTGTTTAAGGCAAGGTTTTCTGTTGGTGGTGTGATCTGTTATCTTTTCTCATTTTCTTTCTTTTTTTTTGGTAGATTTGGCCAATTGGGAGAGAAATCAACTGCAAATGCTTAAAGACATTATCTGTCTCTGAGGATAGAAGTATCTGCCTTCAGCCAAGACTTCATTTTGATGGCAAATACATTGTCTGTAGTTCAGCACTAGGTCTCTACCAGTGGGACTTTGCCAGTTATGATATCCTCAGGTAATGTTCCTTGTACCTTATGCTTTATCTTTGAATGCTGGCTGTTGAGTAGTAAAGAAAAGACTAAATATTTGCATGTACCAACCAACAGCTTGCTTTTAGGAAATATTTACTGCATCAGTTATAAGCCAGTCTATTTAAAGTCAGCATCTCACAGTGGAAAACTTGTTTTAGAGGCAATAAGCAAATGACAAAGGATTGTTTCCTGGAAGCTAAATATCTAGGTTATAATCCCTCCCCTACTCTGAGTCATAAATCACTTTCCCTTTCAGGGTTTAACTTGCTTTTCGGGAAGATGAGGGGCCTGGATGACAGATCTTCCTGATCTTTTCCAATTCTAATTTTTTTTTTAAAGTTCTCTTCATAGTCAGTTGAAATTCTACATTGTTATGCAAGCCTGGTCAACCTCAGTGGATCTAGGGATCAAGTGGCTTTCTTATTGACTGATTGAAAAGTAGTGGTACTTAGAGAAAAATATAACTTCCAGTGTTTCCAAAGAAATGAGAGGTCTGTGGACAAATAATTTTGTGATTTTTGACCCAACATAGACCCCTCTTGGAGATTGGCAGTGTTTGCTGGCATATTCAAGGCTGATGGAAGCCAGTGCTATATGATGGGTTAACATCTGGTACCATCTCTTATGAGCTGTGTGATGTTGTGTAAGTTTCTTAATCCTTCTGTGCATCAATTTTCTCATCTATAAAGTGAGCATTGAATGAAATGCTTGTGTAAGGGCTTAGTATGGCACCTGGCGGATCATTACTAATAACTCTGGAAGCTTCCGTAAAGAAACCTGTTTGAATCTGTTTATCCTACTCTATGTCGTACCTGTGGTGCACATGTGCAGTAACAACTCACAAAAGCTCAGAAAGTTAATGTTCCACAGCGTGTCAGGAAATGCTGACTTGGGGGACATTCTCTCCATTTTTTTTTTCTAATGTGACTGTTTGAGGTCAGCTTAAATGGGATCTGATCCTACTAGCCAGCAGAATTTTGGCAGGCCCCATCTGTTGACAAAGTTAGAACCCCATTCATGTCTTCTGGAGTCAGACCAACATTTCTGAACAGTCAGGTTTCAGAGCTGTCAGAAACATTTCTAGGAATGATTGATGATTATGCTTGAGAAAAAAAAAAAACAGACCTGGAAAACATCAGTCCAAGATCTTCATTTTTTAGATTGGAAACTGAAGCCAAGATGGGGCTATGGCCTTGCCCTACATTCTGTATCTCACTTAGTCTAACGTTGCTCCATTCCTGGCTGGATTATCTGGGAGGTGTGTACTTAATGTCCCAGGAAATCAAGGACCCCAAAATATGAGAAAAGAATCCCTTGGAAGAACTTGATATTTTGCAAAGAAAAAATCCAAGTAATCATCATAGGAAAAACCACATTTTTTGTAGGTTGATACTGCTTTACTTTTAAATTGAAATTTTGGAAAGGAGGGGCATGAAGGTAGAGAGTAGGGTAAAGGTATCATAATTGTTGGATGCTTAAGAGTTTCTAAAAGTTTGAATTTGACCCTGCACCTACATTTTTCATGTATGTTTACTGCTAAGAAAGACCTATAGAGAGTCTAGAGTCCTGGGTAAAAGTTCTGTCAGTTTTTTTTTTTTCTTTTTTTTTTAAGCTTTATTTATTTATTATTTGAAAGGCAGAATTACAGAGAGTCAGAGAGAGAGAGAGAGGTCTTCTATCTGCTGGTTCACTCCCCAGATGGCAGCAATGGCCAGGGCTGGGCCTGATCCGAAGCCAGGAGCCAGGAGCTTCTTCCAGGTCTCCCACGTGGGTGCAGGGGCCCAAGGACTTGGGCCATCTTCTACTGCTTTCCCAGGCCATAGCAGAGAGCTGGATTGGAAGTGGAGCAGTGGGGACTCGAACCAGCACCCATGTGGGATGCTGGCATTGCAGGTGGTGGCTTTACCTGCTACTCCACAGTGCCAGCCCCTCTTGTTAGTTTTTAGTATTTGGATATGCCAACTTTACCTGGCAAGTCTGCAAGATTGTTTCCTGGTGAGAAGTGGTAGATTTTATTTTTCTTTGAAAAGGGGCTATTTTATCTCTGCTTCTTTTCCTTCAAATGTAAACCAGCCTCTTCTGAATCCTGCTGTAAGTTCTCTGGCCTTAGTTGCTAGGACCAGATAGGGCTGCTTAAGGTCTGAAGCTAACGGAAAAGAAGCAAAACACACGTGACAACATGTTGCACAGTAAGTCTGAGATAATGATGCAATCTCTTGAACTAGAGCTGGGTTTTCTTTTTTCCTACAAACTTTTTTTTTTTTTTTAAGATTTATTTATTTGAAGGGCAGAGTTAGCATGAGAGAGAGACAGAGACAGGGAGAGAGCTTTCATCCACTGGTTCACTCCCAAATGGCTGCAGTGGTCATAGCAGTGCCATAGCAAAGCCAGGAGCTTCACCTGAGTCTCCCATCTGGGTGCAGGAGCACTCAATCACTTGGACTATCCTCTGCTGCTTTCCCAGGTGCATTAGCAGGGAGCTAGATTGGAAACGGAGCAGCCAGGACTGGAACCTGCACCCATATGGAATGCTGATGTCACAGGCAGTAGCTTAACCTGCTACACCACAACACCAGCCATAAGCTGCACCACAGCACCAGCCTTGAGCTAGGTTTCTTTACTACAGCACGCAAGATTTCTTAGGTTCAAGAGCCTAACTGCACAGCTGGGCAATCTATTTACAGTACTAATCTGGTCAAAGTCGAAGGATTCACAAGCTTATCAAAAGTATTATCTCTTCTGCAACATGTTTGTATTTCAGTCTTTGGAATCTGTTCATCTTCACTAGTCTTTTTTTTTTTTTTTTAAGATTTCTTTTAACCTATTTGAAAAGCAGAGTTAGAGAAAGAGGGCTTCCATCTGCTGGTTCACTCCCCAAATGACAACAACAGCCAGAGCTGAGCTGATCTGAAGCCAGGAACCAGGAGCTTCTTCCAGGTCTCCCACATGGGTGCAGGGGCCCAATAATGAGGGCCATCTTCTACTACTTTCCCAGGCCATAGCAAAGAGCCAGATTGGAAGTGGAGTAGCTGGGACTCGAACCAGTGCTCATATGGGATGCCAGCACTGCAGGCGGGGGCTTTAAACCACTGCACTACAGTGCTGGCCCTCCTTCACTAGTCTTAATTCTTATACCCATAACCACCCAGTTTTCTGTGTTTCCAATTTTATCCTGCTTTAAATTGATGATAGAGGGCTTACCATACCTTCTAGTTGGTTTTTCCCAGTGTCCTTTGGTCTCTTATAGGAATTTGTATTTGTAGTGTTTGTTATACCACTGCTTTGTTTATTAGTTGATACTTAGTACCTGTCTATTTCTGCATTGGGAAGTGACAGAAATACTTATTAGTAAGCACATGGAAATGACTAACCAGTATGAAGGAAGGCTGACATTGAACAACTAGTGCATTTTTTTTAGATTTATTTATTTATTTGAAAGAGTTACACAGAGAAGGAGAGGCAGAGAGAGAGTGAAAGAGAGGGGTCTTCCATCCACTGGTTCACTCCCCAATTGGCCGTAGTGGCCGGAGCTGAGCTGTTCTGAAGGCAGGAGCCAGGAGCATCTTCCGGGTCTCCCATGTGGGTGCAGGGGCCCAAGGACTTGGGCAATCTTTGACTGCTTTCCCAGGCCATAGCAGAGAGCTAGGTTGGAAGTGGAGCAGCCAGGACTTGAACTGGCGCCCATGTGGGATGCCAGCACTGCAGGCAGCAGCTTTACTTACTTACAGTGCTGGCCACAAGCTAGTGCATTATTTTTAATGGTTTGGTAGTAAGTACCTAGTGCAGGGTATGTTGACGGCCCATATTGTTTGTGAAGTAAGTGAATACTTCCTAGAGGAAGAACTATTTGGGTTGACCTTTAAATGTATGCCTTTAACTAAGTGCCAGGAGCTGGTGTGCAGTGAGCAGTATTGTAGACCAAGACTGTTCTGTTCATAGGTCCTGGAGGTGAAGGGGTCTGGTGTATTTGAGGAATTCACCAGTGTAGCTGGAGGTAAGAGGGTAGTATGGAGGCATCATTGGGTGTAGAAGCTCAAACAAAGTGGTAGTAGCATCAGATTTAGTGTGAAGGTAGCTGATTGAAAAATTCTAAGAGTAGCTGGGGAGAAAGCTGTTGGCAATACGGCAAGCAAAAGCATGATAAGCCGGCGCCGCGGCTCACTAGGCTAATCCTCCGCCTAGCGGCGCCGGCACACCGGGTTCTAGTCCCGGTTGGGGCGCCGGATTCTGTCCCGGTTGCCCCTCTTCCAGGCCAGCTCTCTGCTGTGGCCCGGGAGTGCAGCGGAGGATGGCCCAGGTGCTTGGGCCCTGCACCCCATGGGAGACCAGGAAAAGCACCTGGCTCCTGGCTCCTGCCATCGGATCAGCGCGGTGCGCCGGCCGCAGCGCGCTGGCCGCGGCGGCCATTGGAGGGTGAACAAACGGCAAAGGAAGACCTTTCTCTCTGTCTCTCTCTCTCACTGTCCACTCTGCCTGTCCAAAAAAAAAAAAAAAAAAAAAAAGGCATGATAATGGAGAAAAAAATGAAAAAAAATTCAGGAGGTAGTCAGTAGAGCTTGGTGATTGAATTTAGGATTTAAGTATGGAGAAGAATTGGGTGATGACTCTGTTTCCTAGCTTGAGCAGTTTGGGCCAATGAGCAGGTGAGGAAATAGAGAAATGGGTTTGGCAATAGATTTTGTTTTTGACAGATTGTAGGTGAGGAAATTCAGTTTGTCTTCTTCACTACCTAATCCTGATACCAGCAATGACTAGCATACTTCATGTTCCCAATATTTGTGAAATGAATGAACATAATCATCCAAATGGAAAATGATGAGGGAGTTACTGATTGTGAACTTATTTGGAGCACAGTGGCTAGAACCGCTGTTTCCCCTATGCTTGCTTAATCCCAACCTACTGCTGTCCCTGGGATCGGGCCTAGTGCATCTGTGCATATTATAATTCAGTGATTGATTTTGGATTAATGTCACGCTTGAACGTA